TGCATCCGCCCCTGCTGGTTGAGTCTTTGTGTCAGGCACGGATTCACGCTGGCTTCCCCCTAACTCAGAATCCTCAACAACTTTAGCTTTTCCCTTATCATTCACCGCAACACCTGCTATGACTGGTTCAGAATTTGTTTCGGGTAATGACTGGTAGGGAGTTCCATCGACTAACGAAACATCAATATTGTTGCCTTTTTCACCCTCTAATTCTACATTTTCAGTTGTATTTTCAACACGACTACTGCTAGGGTTAGGATTAAACACAGGCGGAGAATCAGAAAATAATAAAAAACTAGGACCAAACATGGCTGAGGCAACTGATTCAGCAGCTACTTGAGTTGAAGAATAATGTTGTGCATGACGCCACCATCTACGCGCTCAATGCTTCCGACCCATAGTGAAAAAAATAACCCGCAGACATTGATTCACAAAAGTACAAAGAAAAACGCAAAAATTCTATGATTTTGAAAACCCACTTTCACTAGAATGTACTTTCACATCCAAAAATTTCGCCCAGAAATTACTATTAGACGAAGAGATAGAACGAAATCTGAAGAAAAAATTCAAAACTCGAATCACTAAATGCTGGGTGAAATATGGTTTCTCATGGTTTGGCTATAGAGGCTTTGAAACTAACTCTGTAGCGTTAAAGGACGAAGACAAATTAAATGAGGCATTAAATGACGGTGGGTATGGGAATTCGCTAATTGCGTGGGCTGCTGGGTGAAATAGCTTGGGCTGAGTATGGGAATCCGCTAATGGGTGGGCCGCGTAAATAGTCTGGGTCGCATGGGCAGGAAAAGTAAATAGTTTGGGCATGGGTATTAAAGGGTAAATAGTTTGGGCTTAATAGGTATAAAGTGAGATTTTTCTCAAAATATTTTGAAGCACTTTTATATGGATAAAACACATCTATTGAGTACCCCGATGGTTGTGAGATTTCTTGATATAAATAAAGATCCATTTCGCCCTCATGAAAATGATGAAGAGCTTTTAGGTGCTGAAATACCATATCTTAGTGCAATTGGGGCATTAATGTATCTTGATAATAATTCTCGACCAGATATAGCTTTCCCCGTAAGTTTGTTAGCAAGATTTAGCTCTTCCCCAACACAGACATTGGAATGGTTTTAAGCTTCTATTCAGATATCTCTGAGGGACCATTGATATTAGATTATTTTATTCAAATGAATCCAGGTCACAATTGATTGGGTATGAAGATGCAGGATATTTGTCAGATCCACATAAGGGTCGTTCTCAAACAGGCTATTTATTCATACGTGGAGGTACTGTCATATCATGGCGTTCAACAAAACAAACGATGGTTGATAATTCTTCAAATCATGCAGGGATAATAGCTATTCATGAAGCGAGTCGAGAATGCGTTTGGTTGATATCAATAACTCAACATATCCAGGAGATATGTGGTCTTTCACGGGGAAAGGATATTCCAATAACATTGTAATAATGCTGCATGTATAGCTCAACTAAAAGAGGGATATATTAAAGGAGATAGAATAAAGCACATTTCACCAAAATTCTTTTTCACGCATGATCTTCAAAAGAATGGTGAATTAGATGTTCAACAAGTTCGTTCAAGTGATAATTTAGTAGATTTGTTCACTAAGGCATTACCGACATCAACATATAAGAAGTTGAGATATAAGATTGGAATGCGTCGTCTCCGAGATATCAAATAGAAATTTTATTAGGGGAAGAAATGTGTGCTGCACTCTTTTTTTCTTAACCAAGATTTTGTCCCAGTTGGGTTTTCGTGGTAAGTTTTTTAATGAGGCATCACTCAAGTCTCAATGCGTATTACAAAATATTATAAGATATGTGTACTCTTTTTCTTTCACTAGACTTTTTTCCACTGTTCTTAGTAAAGTTTTAACGAGGCATTATTATCTTTGAATGGACATCCAAGGGGGAGTGTTATAAATCCATTTGCATAGAAGGTGGATGTCCAACTTGAGATTTGAAAATCTTGCCATATCTTAGATTTGTCTTCATGTTGTTATAAATCCACTTGCATATGTCACGACCCGAAATTTCCACCTTCGGGACCGTGATGACGCCTAACATTTTACTTGCCAGGCAAGCCAACGTTAGAATAGTTTTAGCCATTTTTAACAAATCCAATTAACTGATACCAATTAAATTGTAATAACTAAAATAGAGTATGAAAAACTATAGTAACCACAATATCTAGATACAATCCCAGAACCAGTGTCACAAGTGCACAAGCGACTAGAATAATACGGATAATGGTATGAATGAAAGTAAAACTGTCTGAAATGAAATAAACAACTAGGATAAGAGAGAAGGGGACTTCAGGGCTGCGAACGCCGAGCAACTGTACCTCAAGTCTCTAATTCATCAATCAATCCGAGCAATCTACTGACCGCCGGTAGGACCGACTCCAAAATCTGCACAAGAAGTGTAGAGTGTAGTATGAGTACAACCGACCCCATGTACACTGTAAGTGCCGAGCTTAACCTCGACGAAGTAGTGACGAGGCTAAGGCGGGTCACTTACAATAACTTGTACGCGGTATAATAATAATAACAGGAAAGTAAGGCAATTGACTTATGAAAATAAACTCAATCCTCGGAATCGGTCCAGCACTCAGAATCTTGTATGAAAGCATCAAAAGCTAACACAATATAATAATGAATACAAAACACACAATCCGTTGCTGCGCGCTACCCGATCCCACCGTACAAACACAATCCTCTATTATTTCACCCATTGCGGCGTGCAACCCGATCCCACCGTACAAAAATAATCCTCCCTTATTTCACCATATCAATATCTATAATAATATGTAAAATCCGTTGCGGCACGCATCCGATCCCACCATATAATCAGATTCATTAACATATTCTTCCCTTATTCCACCATATCAAAATCACATACGAAATCTATTGCGACGTGTATTCCGAATCCACCATATCAATATCAATCCTCCCTTATTCCACCTGTTGCAGTGTGCAACCCGATCCATAAGCAAAATTAATAAATGAAATCAACTCAACAACTCAAATCACGAGAATCTCTATAATTAACGAATATGAAAGCGAAACCATAAAGGAATCTCGTACCAAATCAAGAAATGCTACAACTAATACTAAGCAACAAGACAAGTCAAATATGTGACAACTAAAGTGTACAAGTAAGACAATTAAGGCAAGTAGCAATTAATCATGGAAACATGGGAGAACCGAACATTTTAATATGAGAGAAATTAGTGACAAGTAGCAAGTTAAGGCATAGATAACAATTAAAGCATGTAACGATTAAGACATAGAATAAAATAATTAATGAAATGCGAGAAAGCATGGAAACAAGTATTTTGACGACGTATATACACTCGTCACCTCGCATATACACCGCTACACATGTGATTCACATAGCACATAGCTCAAGGGTTCCTATTTCCCTCAAATCAAGGTTAGACCTAACACTTACCTCGCTCCGCAAGTAAATCAAAGCTCAACCGGGGTCTTTCCTCTAAAATTCGCCTTCAAACCAATCGAATCTAACCAAAATCGACTCAATAACATTAAATAATGCTAGGAAATCAATTACAAATTTACAATACATAAAGTTAAGATCTTTACACTTTTTTCAAAAGTCAACCTCGAACTCGCTTGGTCAAAACCTGAGATTCGGACCAAAACTCAGTTACCCATTCACCCCCGAACCTGATTATGTAATTAGTTTCGAAATTTGACCTCAATTCGAGATCTAAATCCCAAATTTATAAAAAAAATCCCTTATTCTACCAAAAACCCTAATTTCTACTATGAAAATCCTAGGTTTGATGTTGAAAACTTATGAAATGTAATGGGTAATTGAAAAGAAGTAGATTAAAGTCGCTTACCAATGAATTTAGAAAGAAAATCTCTTGAAAAAATCGTCTCTAGGGAGTTTAGGGTTGAGAGTTTGAAAGAAATGAGCTAAATCCAGTTTCCCCCCTCTTTTACCAGATGTTGATGTCGAAATTGTGATATCTTGTTCGTCGCAATTGCGAACATCGCAAATGCGAGAAAGAGGTCGCAAATGCGAACCCTTCTCAGATAGCCAGTCATAGCAAATGTGATGTTTTGGTCGCAAATGCAGACCCATACCACTCGCAAATGCAGACCATTCCTTCACATATGCGAAGGTAGCCCACGACACACTGAGTCGCAAATGTGACTCTGCCTTCGCAAAAGCGGCAACTCGCAAATGCGAACATTTACCTCGTAAATGTGACTCCCCCAATACAGCCCTTGCTCGCAAATGCGAAGCCTTGTTCGCAAAAGCAAGGCTCACAAATGCGAGCCAGATGCGAGATCTGCAGCAGTGCACCAACAACAGTAAAGGCATCAGATATACTTCTAAGTTCAAAATCACTCCGTAGCCTATCCGAAACTCACCCGAGCCCCTCGGGCTCCAAACCAAACATGCACACAAGTGTAATAACATCATACGAACTCGCTCGCGCGATCAAAACATCTAAATAACACCTAGATTTACGAATCAGACACCAAAACGAATGAAATTTTCAATGAAACTTAAGAACATGAAATATCTCAACCGGACGTCTGAATCACGTTTTGCACCAAATTTTGCAGACAAGTCATAAATACCGTAATGTACTTGAAAGGAGATTATACCATGCACTGTACAAATAGAAAACATATTAGAATAGCCTCATCAGTCATTGTGAATGGTGATATCTGTACATCTCAGACTAATTTGGCCACAGTTTTTTAGTTTAGACACTTTCGACAAAATTTCGCAACACTCTAGAAATAATAATAAAGAGTGAGCTAGATCTCAATGGCTGGAGATGAAAGATTGTTGGAGGGAATGTTTTGACATGTTCAGATAACATTCACAGTAACTGATGAGGCTATTCTAATACTGTAATACACTACTTCCAGTTTTTCCTTCTGCAGAATATGCGCAACACTGGTTTGCTTCTTTTTTTTTCTGAGAAAAGGACGCCCAATTCTAAATTTCATTCATATCACCACTTAGATGATTTTCCACATTAATATGCCTACTTGTAAATGACTCCCCGCTTTTCAGTGTGCACAACAGGGAAGACCCAAAAGTTCAAGCACAAAATGTTTACAACGAGTTCATCCGGCTTTTCTTATAGCTAGAGCAGTCTGGAAAAAGTTTAACTGGCTATAATATAGAAAACAAAGCTAGAACTGAATAACCTTTCTAGCAACTAATATACCAAGGTAATATCTGCAACTGATAGATGCACATCTTTCCCCTCCATTAGAAGCGAGCTACTGAAGTTTTGAAGGAGAGGGTTCACGAGCTGCTCCATCTTCCTCTTTGCATATGACAACTTTGGTCGTCTCATCCAACCATTGCTGCATCTGACTGCAATCTTTCTTGTCCTTATCCAGAGCTTCAAGCTCTTCTTCCACAGGAATCACTCCCGAAATATTCTGCTTTGGAGGGGTTGTCTTATCTGAGCATTGCTGCATCTCATTACCATCACTCTCATCCTTAGCCAGAGCTTCAAGCTCTACTTCCTCAGGAATCACTCCCAAAATATTCTGCTTTGGAGGGGTTGTCTTATCTGAGCATTGCTGCATCTCATTACCATCACTCTCATCCTTAGCCAGAGCTTCAAGCTCTACTTCCTCAGGAATCACTCCCAAAATATTCTGCTTTGGAGGGGTTGTCTTATCTGAGCATTGCTGCATCTCATTACCATCGCTCTCATCCTTAGCCAGAGCTTCAAGCTCTACTTCCTCAGGAATCACTCCGGGAATATTCTGTAGCACACATGACAGGTACGAAGGTTGCTGTAGGAGCTTTTTTCTCTCCAAATGCCGGAAAAGTGTAAAGACCAGAGGGGTTAAGGAAACACTTTCCTTTCTTTGCAGAATAGACCAGGATGAAGAACAGCGAGACAACAATACACACACACAAATGAGAAGGAAGAGACGCTAAAATTGGTGATCCACAGAAAGTCATGTTATTTATAGCCTGTTTGGCTAAGCTGCAAAAATCGGCTTATTTTGAGAAGTGATTTTTCTCAAAACTGCTTTTTTCAAAAAGTACTTTTGGCGAAAAGCAGTTTGTGTTTGGCTAATTAATTTGAAAAGCACTTATGAGCAACAATTAGCGTTTGGCCAAGCTTTTAAAAACAGCTTCTAAGTGTATTTTTCTCAAAAGTGCTTTTGGAGAGAAGCTACTTTTTTCTGCTTCTCCAAAACTGCTTCTGCTTCACCTCAAAAACACTTTTTTTTTCTTCCAAAAGCTTGGCCAAACACTTCAACTTTGAAAAAAAAAACACTTTTTTTCAAGAATTGGAGAAGCTTGACCAAACAAGCTATTAGTCACCAAAAAAGAAAAGAAAAAAGGATATTCATATCTCCATCCTTTCTCATTTGCCCGGTCAATGAGTTTCTTCAATAAATCCAGCTCTCGAGCAATCCTCTGACATTAAAAAGGAAAAAGAAGAACCAAATAATTTTAAAGGTGGGTGGCATCAGATATTCAGATGTTCAGCAAATACATTGATTGAAGATACAAAAAAAACAGGTGAAGAATATTTTCATGTTACTGAAATGGAAGCTGAAATCATTTTATAACACTTGATCCGTGTTGCAGGATCATATTCTGTATTCTCATGCTGATGGAGTATAAACTAGTAGTGTAAGACTGAAACCATACATGCTTTGTGATGTCCTCATGAAGGATTTTAGCCTTCTGTTCAAGCTCCACCTGCAAAAAGGAGAGAGTTTTATGGTAGTACTAAATAAAATTGGAGTTCAGATGAATCTATAACTGGAAAACTTGATGCACTGCGCTTTGCGCTTATATCTTTTCAGATATGTAGAAGACCAACATAAAAGTACAAGCATTCTAATACCTTAAACATTTAGTAGAGGTGACACACAATTCAAAAGGACTCTCCATATACTAGAAAGGGAACAACAAAAGAGGCATTATGTAAACTGGCAAGCTGGAAGAGTCCCTCATTATCTCCCACTGGGCAAGAAGTGGACGAATCCATGTAACCACTATTGAATCACGTTGCTCGGCTGATCTGAAGTGGTGTTCTAGATGAACATATTCAATGTCCAGTTACCTTAAAACCTTCCCATTAATGCAACTCTAAAGTCATCTTGTTCTTTGGGAGGAAAGAAAATTATGTGACATGCAGACGATGGGAAGTCACTTGCTGGCGCTGTAGTGTTTGCTCAAAAAGAAAGATGTACAATGGGTTTCAGCGGGGCATGCTCTTTATTTGAAATGGAAGACAGTAATAAGGACCAGCTACCACGCACTTTTACTTGGTGACACCAAAACTGAGGACAATATCAAGTACACGGAATATTTAAACTGCAAGAGCCCAGGACTGGAGAAACTAACCATCAACCTTCTTCGCATTGTAGTGACCCATTTTCCATCAACAACGATAAGGGAAATGGATTAGACGAAGAGGAAGATTGAGAATTCACTTGTGCGCCTGTAATTCTTTTAGACTGGAGAAACTAGCTCCCAATTGTAATCCATACTACAAGCTATAACATTAAATAATAAAAGAGAAATTGGTTGTCCTAGAGGGAAACCACTGCTTGCACTAGCAGTGCGAACAGGGAGATCACGCCATTTTTTTGGGGGGTAAAAATGCTAGAATATGATAGTTAAACATATTAAAGCTTTCAGTCATCCAAGAATATCTAGACAATGTTTCAATGGAATAGTTATGTCACAATGCAAGCAAAAAATACTTACAATTGTAGGCTTTTTAAGCAGGCCTTTTTTCACCTTCTCTCTCAGATCATCACATTCTTCCTGAAACACAGAGTAAAATGTTAAAATACATTGAGTTGAAGGGTCAACCATGAAAGCTGAGTTCAGTCACTGGGTAGTTCCTCACTGGATGTTTCTCAAGTATAGAGGAATACTAGTAACAGCTTCAAATCAACTAATGGTCAGATACTATATTGTATTCTGAAACAACAAAAAACTAGCTTCCATTTAGATCTAGAGTACTAGAAACGTTCAATCGGGTTTTGTCCTCCACAATTAAAAATACTCAAAAACGATCACAAACTCTCAACTGAAAAGTAAATGGAAAAGGGAACAATCAGTAGGTACCTTCCTAATTAGGCCTATAATTGTTTTGGATAAGTATTTCTCAATTCTCATTAATGTAAAAGCACCAAGAGGATGCTCAAAAGACTGTACAAATAATATGAGTGCTTCCAATTACATGTGCACAGTCCAGTGGCTCTAGAATGACAAAATAATATGAGTGCTGCCAATTACATGTGCACAGTCCAGTGGCTCTAGAATGCTATCAAACATAGATCTTATCACCTATGATATTTTACATTACTTTTAATTTGATGATCACGCGGCAAAACAACCTCAGCTTCACAAAGTTGAGAATATTGGTAACCCAAACGAAGCCAGTCTTCAGTCACTGAGTTTGGTTTTTACCATAACTAGAAAAGGTAGGAAGATACGATTTCTGCAGTGCAGATTACTCCTCCTAACTAAAAGGTCAAAAAAACCATTTTCCTCCATTCGATATAGAAAAGGATAGCTAATCTACATGCCACACAGCCTATCATTGGCTCCACTTGGGATCTTGACCTAGGTTAAAATCTTATTTTAATGAAACAAAGCCAAAATCTTAGACAGCCAATTACAACAACTTCTCAAAACAAGAGAAAACCTATGATATTTTTAGAAGAGCAACATAATGCTTTGGCACACCTAGCTTCATTTACACTTGGAGAAGAGCAACAAATATAACGTTGAAAATAATCAACATCAAAAAGCAACTACTTCTTTTGCAAGGAAGCTGTCAGCAGTTTTGACATCTAACACCAAGTTAGAAGCGCGACAAGTATTTGTTCATGCAAGACTTTGATTAACAACATTTAACCTCTATATCTCATGAATGCATTGGTAGAATGATAAGGGTTGTGTATATCTGCCTCCTCAAAATGAGAAGAAGTTGAGTGGACTTCTGAGCAGGCATACAAAAATATTCACAGCCATTTGCGGTATATGTAGCTGCAGAATCATGTCAAATTGTAGGTAATGATTGAATAGACCGATTTCTAAAAAGAAGTAGGTTACCCTAGAAAACTCATCATCAGAAAGCATGGTCAAGCAAACATCTGTGGACATATTTGAAACTTGAAGAAAAATCTCGCTGTTGCAGTTATCGCTTGATCCGTGCTTGATCCCTGAGAAAACTCGCTTGAACAAGAAAGAAATCAGTTTGGAAGCAAGCTGAAGATTAAGATCTTAAAGGGAAGATAATATTCTATATAAGACTTGTAAGAATGGAATAAGATTTGAATGATCTTTGCCTCACTCTCTCCATCCCATTTACTTGACCTGCTTGCTCTTTTCTCTCCCCAATTTAATCATAATCTTTAATAGATTGATTTTGTCTTATTTTCATCATGTCATATCTTTTCAGTGATCTATTCCACTTTATTCACATTTCAAATTTTTACTTTCAAATTTCTCCACATCCTATTAAATTAATTTTTTTTTTGATAATGGTAATAAATTTTATAAAAGAGTAAAATATTTACAAGAGATTGTGTAAGCCACATTCAGACCCCAAAAGATTTGGGATTGTGTAGCCTATTCTGTTCGATTACATTTCTTCTAGCAAATCTAGTAAAGAATGTACATCCTCCCTATAGCTCTCTTTGCACCAAAAATAAAATAACAAAAAACAATTAAGCTTAATTTTCTGGTAAGAGCTAGGCCTATCTTCAAAAACTCCGGCATTCCTTTCCTTCCATATGACCCACCAGATGCAAGCATGAACTACTTTCTACCATTTCTTCTGTTTAATATTTGCACCTCCATTGTTCCAGTTACACTTAGAAGAGGTGCAGTGTTATTGGGCATTGTCCATGAGATTCCAGCCAAATTAAGATAGAAATGCCAAAGTTGAGTAGTGACTGGACAGTGTATAAAGAGATGGAAAACTGACTCCACATCTTTGCCACAAAGACTACACCTAGCTTGTAGCTAAATTCCTCTCCTAATAAGATTATCCCGAGTTAGAACAGCTTCCCTTGCTACTAACCATGTGAAGAATAACACTTTTGTGGGCGCCCTGACCCTCCAAATTTGTTTCCATGGCCATCCTTGAGTAGGATTAGTAGTAATGTTGATGAAATGATAAGCAGATTTCACCGAAAAGGCTCCTTATTTGTGACCCTTTCACATTAAAACATCTTCCTATTAAATTAAATTATAGTAACCTATATTTAATTTTCTCTCTCAAAATTGATGCTAGTCGAACTAGGTCTTCTACTCTTCTTCCGGATGGAAGAAAATATGTTTAAGTTTAGCAACCGTCATCCTCCATCGCGAAAAGAGTTGTACAATCCGGAGTCAACTTATTTAATTCTCTATGTGAATTCAGACATTCACTTTTTAATATTTTTTAAAAATATTTACATATTTAAAAATAAGATAGAAATTACTGTTAATCACAATTATTTAGGTAAAATCTGATTTAAACTTATTCTAACATATTTGTAGTCAAAGAAAGATACAGGTTTGACTCCCCAAATAGTAAAAGTACCAAACAACATGGGCAGAGGAAGTATAATAAAATTTAAAACCATAGAAGGTTTGTTTGTTCCAAACAAAATACAGAAGGGTGTTAAGACTAAATTGTCCTCACAATATTAAGAACACAGCAAAATGACTAACAAAAGGAAATTTAGGGTGTGTTTGGTACGAAGGAAAATGTTTTTCATGGAAAATGAGTTGTTTTATCACTTATTTTCCCTTGTTTGGTTGGTGAGTTTTCCTTTTCCGGAAAATATTTTCTAGTGTTTGGTTAGAGAGTAGAAAATATTTTTTTATGCTACTCTCATCTCCCTTCCCTCAAGTCCCTATGTTTCCTATGCTTCCCCCCCCTTAGTGCTCCATACTAAAAAAAAATACTTTTTTTTTTGTTGAAAAAGAAAGTACTATTTCTACAACATGAAAATAAAGTACTCATTTTGTTGAAATGAAAGAATTTTTTTTTCTACATCATGAAAAGACAGTACTTTCTTTTGTTAAAACGAAAAAAAAAAAACTTTTTTTATATCATGAAAAAAAAATACTCATTTGTTGAAATGAAAAAAAAATGCTCTATCTATAACATGAAAAGAAAGTGCTATTAATAATATTTCTATTTAGGGTGGNGGCGAGGGTGGGTGGAGTTAGGGTGGGGGTGGGTTGTGGGCGTTGGTGGGGATGGGGAATGGAAGGAAGGTTGGAAAAGTTTTCCCTTCTCTTGATAGGGAAAACATTTTTCCTCCAATTAGAGGAAAATGAGTTCATGAAGAAAATATTTTTCAAAATATTTAAGCCAACCAAACATGGGAAAATGGGAAATCCCTCCTACCAAACACACCCTTAGTTCATGGGAAGATGAAAAACGAGTTTCAAGTTTCACTTTCATTTCATGTGCTATTAGGAACATTATAGTTAGATGCTTGAACATATTATCAATGACATGATAACAACAAAAGGTGAAGGAAACATAAATCAATCAAAATGGGAAAAAACAGGCCTTCTGGTAAGTTACTGTCCAATTATCCAAAAACTTCTTATGGAAGACGCGAGGGATGTTTGGCAACTATTTCAAGATAAATCAAAGTATGAACTCATTGTTAAAACAACCTGCAATTTGCACAAGCTGATGAGAGTTACTCCGCTTGTAATCACATGGGTCTAACTTGATCCGGACAAAACTTCCTATAATCTTTGTTTCAATTGGCTGAGGCTGTTTGATAATCTCCAGCACCAAGCTCCTCTTCAGGTAAACAAGTTTGATATTTTCAGGAATCAAGGCTGCAAACGGACTCTTAACTGCGGTTGAATACTTAACTGAGAACATCTTGTTTTGTTCAGGTGGACTTTGAGCTGCAGTTGAATACTTGACTGAGGACATCTTGTTTTGTTCAGCCTTTTTCTCAGCCACCTTTTCTGTGTCATTGTCTTCAAGATCATGATCAAGCTCATCCTTTTCTGATCGCTCCTCATTTTCAACAAAGTGGCTGTCAAGGAGGCTATATATTCTGTGTCTGTTGACCTCTTTCTTCCCAAAAACAGCTTGTAACCAAACATCACAAACGATCCTTTTCTTTTTAACTGGATGGATAAGGTTATGTTCTTTTACATATTTACTTATGATCGAGGTCACATCATATTGAGATAATTTTTCTCTAGTATCTTGGCCAATAAACTGAAGAAAGTCAATTAGAGCTTTTGATCCCCATCCAACAAATTCATTTTTCTTTGACTTTACTGTTCTTTGCATCTTTGCTTTTTGCTGTGTACATCTCTTCTTTTTAAGTCCTTTCTTGTAAGGTTCTCCGTCATTTAAATCTCCATCGTCCGAAGCGAGTTGCTCATCCTCTTCTTCACTAAATTCATCCTCTTCATCACTACATTTATCTGAATCAGAGTTAATACGGCAACTTTTTTCCTTGTCTAGTTGAGCCTTAGCAGCAAGAACACTATTTTTGTCAAATCCTTCTTTTTCCTTTACTATCTCGTAATACTCCCTGAAAAGGCCCTCGTATGTTTCCCGATCTCTGAGGTCTACGCTTTCCTGGAAAACAACAATCATTCGTATGAGAAATGAAACAGATTACTTCATCAACTACTGGATTAACAGAGCAAATAAGAGAGGAAGATTATAGCAAGAAATAAAAGAAGACTCCTCTAACTGAATATTGCCAATCTGATAATAGTGATAAAACCACAAGACGTAATCTTACATGCTCAAACCGAGGAAATGTTAGCTGTTAAATAGAGTTTGTGACAAAAAAGATCAATTATCATAATATCCACATCACATGTTGCTAGAATAAATTCAACTTCGGAACCCTAGAAGAAGAAAATCCAGAAAACAACAAAATGATGATCCAACTTACGCCCCTTAAATACAACTTTGTCTACCGAGCTCCTCTCCTGTTAAACCAGTGTGAAGCCACTTTGTAAGAGACAAGTAACTTTTTAAACTTCCATAAAATACAGTTCACCTTACAAATTGAACAGGATTTTCTGTCTTTTTCCTTATATAATCTCTATTACTTTTTTTAAAATAATCACAGATGAATATAGATAGTTTTTTAAAGAGAGACACATAAAGCATCTCATACTTTCCTATTGTCAAAGCCTGTTGGGTCTCAAAGTGCTTTCGAGATTTGGCTTCATTTATCTCCTACTATCATGAATATAAAACACAATTATATGTCAATGCTGTAAAGCATCATGCTAGTAAGGTGCATTTCAAGTTATTTCCTGGGCTAGTTCAGTTAATAGTTCCCATGACAAGTTTTCTTCAGATGTAAAGATAAACATTTCCAAAATAGTAAAGTAAGCAATTAATTAGTACTGAACCAAAACTTAATAGTTTGAGAATAACCATAATAGTCATGCATACCCCATCAGAATCAACATTCACGTCTTCTTCCACGAGCAATGCGAGCTTTAGGCAGTTATTGCAGAATCCATACTTCCCTTTAAGAAGGACAAACTCGACTCGACCAATGCACCGAGAGCATACAGCTCTATCACAACAATAACAGTGATAATTTGGACTTCTCTGGCAAACTAAGCATTTATGCCATCCTGGAACATGGTAAAACTGATTATATTTTTCACACAATTATTTAACTCTATGTAATGAAAAAGGCAACACATGACCAGAAGATAAGTACTCAAACTAAATGTTAGTTTATAGATATGTATAGTGTAGTCTTGTCCCACATTGGAAGAGGAGTAATATCTCCTTGTATTGTATAGCTATAAATAGGGACCTCTTGTATTGTATTTATCATCCAATATCAATAACATATTTTCTCCCGTGCCTTCTCACACTAAAAATATTTGAGTGCAATCTAATGTGTTTGAGATTACAGACAAACTCATTTATTTCAGAAGCAGTTACCACATATATACTCTAGCATTGTAGTTCATCATTCCAAAAAGTGGTGCAGTATCAATTTGGAGCCAAATAAAACAATTGAATTTATTCTAATATATTTTTGTAATTTAGAGGCAAAATTGTTTCTAAATCAAACTCAACACTCCAGAAAATGTGATTCCAACAATCCATTTCTTAGTATATTACTATTTTAAGCCCTTTTATATTCTCTTGACTCAAGTATATTATCATATTATAATCAAGGTATGTTAAGCATACGCACTTATGATTTAAAGAGACCGAACCCTAGAGAATTATGGCTTCAGTTAGGTGACGAAATTCAAACTTGTATCTACATATAAGGCTTTTTTAAAATCTAAGACTACTTTTGAGCTTAACAATTTCCTTATCGTAATTTTATCTCCAAATAATGAGAAAACAATTCCTTATGCAGTTTTAATTTCAGGATTAAATCAACACTATCATACTTGCTCATCCTGAAATAGGGCTAGCCACCAAATACTTTTAATCTTCTTTTTGGTTCCTTTCTATTTTTATTTTCCTCCTGCCTTGTGCAACAAATAGAAACACTAACTACACAAAGGAATAAAGAAAAATACTGGTTCTAGCAAAGAGCAGTTATCCTCCTTCCTTTCTCTACGAGTAGGTTTTCTCCAACACCATGCAACTGCATCAAAAAGACTATGTACGGAGAAATGTGAGACCCTCCGAAATTGCCTAGAAAGTAACTCTTTCCATTTGTGCCAAGACAGTTAGCAAAAAATTTCACAATAAAGTAGCAAAAAGAAGCTACATAAGGAATAGTGGTGCTTTTGTTAAATATGTTGTTGAAAAACAAGTATCTCAGTTTCTATTATGCCACAAATTTTGTAACAAAAATCTCAGCTTCATCTTGCTTGATCAATTTGACTCCGCATGAAGTTTAAGAAATTAGTTTGCCAAGATATTGCATCAGTAGGTGTAGAGGAAACGTCACATTAACTCTTTGAGTCTGAATATGCAAATTATTGTTGAAGCTTGCATGCTTACATTCTTAGAGAATATGATTTGATCTATAAAACATGGACCAATTTGCTGTAAAATCATCCATAGCTAGACATTAAAAGTTATAGAGGGGTTGTCTCAAATCTTTCTCGATCTTGGTTTCCTCATCACTCAAAATCAACAAGAGCTTTTCATATGCCATCAACAGAACTAAAACTCTACAAGTTAAGCTTTGTGCATTTAGAATGGAATAGATTCATAATCAATCCTCAAGCAAACTTTTTTCTCTTCCCCATACTGATGTATTTTCCTCGTTTAATTTTTGGCGCTGTAACAAGAGAAGGATTGACAAGATCAGTTCTTCAATATTTGTTTTTGAAAGCACATGAGATCAAATATTAATTTTTGTGTTATTGAGGAATGGAGTAAGGAAAATTGTATTCATCATGGTAATGTGGTCCTACAAAATATTTATGTTGTATAAAATATCTAAGACTTTCTATTTAAGGAAATTGAACTCCAAATTGGAACAGACCAAAAAGAGAAGTACGACTTTCTTTTAGGAACGGAAAAAGTATATAATGGTATTTGGCAATATGCAAACTCGTTTAAAGAGCTATCATAAATTCATAATAAAATTTCCATTAAAACTTCTATCTCTATTTTATCCATCATCTTTGTAAAGAAACATATGTTATGGAGGGAGATTAAAAGATCTTGAACGACTTAGGTTAATTACAACAATATACTATGTATTGCATATCAGGGTAACTTGATGCACAAAGCATCCCGTGTTCATGCAGGGTCCGCGGGAGGCCGCACACCAAGGGATTGAAGGGGTTGATGTAGACAGTCTACCTTAACGTAAGCATTAGTGGATGCTTCCATGGATCGAATTATGACAATTACGTACCAATCACCTTCAATTATGACAATAACACTCCAAAGATTTTTTCTAAAATATTTTAATACTAAGTATTAGAAATATCAACTTTGTTAGCTGGAATAAAATTGCTTTTGGAAATCTGCTATTCATCGAGAAGATTTTCTCTTCTTCTTCTGATGAAATGTATATCGTTGTGGTATCTACACCAGCTTGCGTACACTTCGACTAATTGTTTGGACATCTGCTACTTCCAACTACTGGATAACTACTCACCGTTTGGATTCGAACCTTGGTTCCCAAGGTTGTTATTCCAGCTCCTAGCCGCTAGGCCATCGTTTTAGAGATTGGTTGGAGACTATTAACTCAAAACTATTAAGAGTTTACTATACACATGTCAATATTTTCTTCTCAAAATGTAACAAGTGACATCTGGAATTGGGATGGGAAAGTTGGACTCTTCTCGGTTGAATCTTTCTATCATAGAGGACACCAGAAGACACAACATAGAACACCAAGAAGACTTTGCTTTTTCACTAGGCTAGGGGCATGAGGGGCCATCCTTACTCTCAAGAACCTTAGAAGCAGGGAAGTAACACATGTAGGTTGGTGCGACATGTGCAAGAACTTTAGGGAAGACGTGGACCATCTTATTTTGCACTACAAGGTTGTGCACCAATTGTGGGGGAGCCTCTTTGAATTTCTCCGGAGTACAATGGGTTGTGTGTTATGAATAAAAACATGCTCCTTAATTAGGCCTTCGGAAAGAAAAAGATGACGAGCATAGCATGGGATGTATACCCTTAGTACTTATGTGGACAATATAGAAGAAGAGAAATAGGATTTTTTTTGAAGGGAAGAAAAACTCTTCCTAAATTAGAAGAACTCCTTCGTTTTTGTAAAGTTTTGGTACACCCATGAAGTTAGCATATATTCATACATAATTAATAGGCATAATTAATATTATTGTTAGATTCTCTACTCTTGTATAGCACTTGTATACAAGAGAATTTTCTCGTACAATAATACAATTATTACTACTTACAAAAAGAATGAAACTATTACTTGGGTGATGTCTGAGCCAGCTTGTGCGCAACTCGACTACGCTACCAGGTGCTTGCTACTTTCCACCAGCACAGGTACCGGGTAGCTCTGCCTACCCGGGCTTAGGGAGATGGGAAGAAATCACCTAGTGTTTTGTCCGAGATTTGAACCCTGGTCTCCAAGGTTTTTACCCACTTTATTGGCCACTAGAGGATACCCTTAGGTGCTGCAATTATTAGTTTATTAAAATGAACCCAATCAAAATGCAACAGAAATATCTTTTGGTTATTCCTACTTCCACCAATTGCATTGTGGCCAGTCGATCTACGTTCTCTCATCTTGATCTTTCAAAATTTTGATTGAAAACTTAAATCAAGTGTAGTAAAAAAATCAATACATGGTCCTAGTAATGCTCACTGATTTTAACTAATTAAGTCACTCAAAAACAAGTATGGTTGAACAAGGTTATAAAAACTCTAGCAAGATTTAAAAACGTAAAACTTATCAAATAGACTCGTGTTTGCTGATTAAGGAAGTACAAGCATCAGCCATGACAAGTCATTTACTAAACAGACTAACCAATCCAAAAATAGTTGACCTTGCGCCATACATTTATAAATAAAATTGGGATAGATAATCAGAAAAAAAATTAGGCTACACATAAAGAGCAAGTTGAGAGACAATCTACAACAACAACAATCCAGTATAATCTCACAAGTAGGGTTTGGGGAGGGTATGATGTACGCAGCCTTACCCCTACCCTGCCAGGGCAGAGAGACTGTTTCCGATAGACCCTCGGCTAAAGAAGATGAAAGAAACCCTGATAGCAAGTAATAGCAAGACAAATAATTAGAAAACTAAATCGAAGATAGCAACAGAGAATATGAAAGAGGTACCGATAACAAGTAATAACAAGACAATAAATGTAGAAAACTAAATCCAAGGCAGCAAACGAGAATATGAACGAAGTACTGCCAGCAAACTACGGAATTACTGATGACAAGTAATAACAGAACAAGACATGTGAATATAGCACACTAAGGAAAAAAGGGTACCGTACTAGCACTAATACTATCGAACTATAGAAGTCAAAGAGAAACGCACGACTACCTACTAACCTTCTACCCTAATCTTCAACCTCCACACCCTTGTATCTAGGGTTATGTCCTCGGTTAGCTCAAGTTGCGCCATGTCTCGCCTGATCACCTCTCCCCAAGACTTCTTTGGCCTACTTCTACCCCTCCTCTCACCTCCCAAGGCCAACCTCCCACATCTCATGACTGGGGCATTTGTGCTTCTCCTCTTAACATGCCCGAACCATCTCAACCTCGCCTCACGCATCTTAGCCTCCACAGGGGCCACTCCCACCTTACCCCGAATAACTTCATTCTTAATTCTACCCAACCTAGTATGCCCACACATCCATCTCAACATCCTCATCTCAGTTACTTTCATCTGCTGGACATGGGAGATTTTGACTGGCCAACACTCTGCCCCATACAACATAGTCGGTCTAACCACTACCTTGTAGAACTTACCCTTAAGTCTCAACGGCACATTCTTATCACACAAGACCCCGGAAGCGAGCCTCCACTTCATCCACCCTGCTCCGATACGGTGTGTGTGACATCCTCATCTATCTCCCCGTCTTTCTGAATTATAGATCCCAGATACTTGAAACTCTCTCTTATTGGAATGACTTGCGTATCGAGCCTCACATCCCCGTCAGCCTCCTGGGTAACACCCTTGAACTTGCAATCCAAGTATTCTGTCTTGGTCCTGGTCAACTTGAAACCCTCAGACTCCAGAGTATGTCTCCAGACCTCTAGCCTCTCGTTAACGCCAAGCGTCTCATCCATCAGGACTATGTCATCCGCAAATAACAAGCACCAAGGCACCTCCCCTTGAATGTGTCGCGTCAATGAATCCATTGCCAGGGAAAACAAAAACGGGCTAAGTGTTGATCCCTGATGCAACCCCATCACAACCGTAAAATATTCAGAGTCTCCTTCTGTTGTCCTAACCCGTGTCTTAGCTCCATCATACATGTCCTGAATCACTCTAATATACGCTAAAGGCACTCCTTTAGCCTCCAAACATATCCATAGAACCTCTCGGGACTTTGTCATAGGCTTTCTCCAGGTCAATGAACACCATATGCAAATCTTTCTTCATCGCCCTATACTGCTCCTCCTCACAATGTGAATGGCCTCAGTAGTCGACCGTCCCGGCATGAAACCAAACTAGTTCTCGGAAATGAACACACTACTCCTCAACCTCCCTTCAATCACCTTCTCCCACACTTTCATCGTGTGGCTTAACAACTTGATACCCCTATAGTTGTTGCAGTTTTGGACACCCCCCTTGTTCTTGTACAACGAAATCATCGTACTCCGCCTCCACTCTTCGGGCATCTTCTTCGTCCTAAAAATGACGTTAAACAACCTAGCAAGCCATTCCACGCCCTCCTTACCCACGCTCTTCCAGAATTCCACCGGGATCTCGTCCGGCCCAGTCGCTCTACCCCTACTCATCCTGCGCATAGCCCCTACAACCTCCCCCACTCGTATGCGTCTACAGTACCCAAAATCTCGATGTCACACCGAGTACTCCAACTCCCCCAGCACAATGCTCCTATCTCCCTCTTCATTCAAGTGTTTATGGAAGTAAGAATGCCATATATGCCTAATCTGTGCCCCCTCCCCTAAAACTCTACCCTCCCCGTCTTTTATGCACCTCACTTGGTCCAGATCCCGGGCTTTCCGCTCTCTCACCTTCGCCAGCCTGTACAGCTTCTTGTCCCCGCCTTTATCTCTAATTTCTTCGTATAGACGACTAAACGTCGCGGTCTTAGCCGCAGTAACCACCAACTTTGCCTCCTTCCTAGCCTTTTTATACCCCTCCCTGTTAGCACTCAAGCCCCCCGTTTATACTCTCTACTAGCTTCAAATATGACGCCTTCTTAGCTTTCACTTTTCCTTGAACCTCTTCGTTCCACCACCAGTCCCCTTTATGGCCACCAGAAAAACCCTTCGAAACCCCTAACACCTCCTTCGCCGCCTCTCTAATACAATTTGTTGTCATAGCCCACATACAACTCGCGTCCCCGCTACTCCTCCAGGCCCCCATAGCCAGCAACTTCTCCCCCAACTCCTGGGCCTTGTCCTTGGTCAATGCACCCCACCTGACCCTAGGTATACCAGACATAGCCCTCTTCTTCTTCGTCCACCTGATCTCTAAGTCCATAACCAAAAACATATGCTGGGTCGTAAGATTCACACTAGGGATGACCTTGCAATCCGTGCATAAACCTCTATCACATTTCCGCAGAAGTAGATAATCAATCTGGGTCTTGGCCATCGTACTCCGAAAAGTTATCAGGTGCTCTGCCTTCTTCGGGTAACACGAGTTAGCGATCACCAGCTCAAAAGCTTTAGCATACTCCAGCAATGAAGTACCTCCTCTGTTTCTATCTCCAAAACCGAAGCCACCATGCACACCGTCATATCCACCAAGCAACCTCCCAATGTGGCCGTTAAAATCACCTTCTATAATAAGCTTCTCGGTGGACGGTATACCCCGCACTAACCCATCCAAATCTTCCCAGAAGCATTTTTTAACCTCCTCGTCCAAACCCACGTGAGGCGCGTAGGCACTAACTACGTTCAAGTAATTATTGCCATATAACATTCATTCCCTAGTTTTGACATGTTTAACTAATGTCTACAAGTAATAAATATTTTTACAGGCAATAAAATGCACATAGATTTCCAACCCTTAAAAACAATCCCATACAGCAATTTTTCAGTATTACAATTGGTTATCAACGTAGCCACCCTGCCTAATAGGAGCAGTTTTGCACCGATTTATTTACCCATGTTTTGCAACATTGTTTGGCTGGATGCTATTCTAGATCACCTGATAGAAACAATGTTCAAGAGTAACCGTTCCATATGGAAAGCACGTGAATTGGCTCCCCAATGCAAATTTTCTCTTCATATTTACCTTGAAACCAACAGCAGAATCACTTTTATTACAAGAGGGAGATTCAGGTGATGAGTTTGGTGGACTGATGAGTCCAAACTTTGGAATTTTTGAAGGTTTGGAATACCCGAACTGCTCCGGTGGAGATCAATGTGGTTCATAAATTTGGATGAGAAAACAAAGATGATTTATAATGAGCAAATTTAAAAGCAACACTTTAGTGCATAAGCGACCAAAGGCAGCTGAGCATAACTAGCAAGTTGTTAAGATTTTAAATGTAGCATCCAGCCATCAAAAGATTCCATTGAGGCAAGATAAGAGTGTAATTACAATGGATCCAAAAAATTAACTTTATTCCTAAAATGGCTAAACTGGCATGAAGGAGAACTTCAGCAACTATGGACGACATACCATTACAGGAGGAATCATTTGTCCTTGTTGGAAACTTATTCCTTAACGAGAATTATTTACTTGCAAAACAAAAAACAAAAAATCACCAGCTTACAACAAGTATTTCCTAAACATTCAAATCACTGGAAACCTTGTTTGTCAAAGTGGCATCTTTGTAATTCCTTGTAGACAACATATAGTTTCAAGGGACTTCTCCAGTTCTCCTACTATATAATTAATTGTCCCTTTTACATTGTCTCTTCATCAAAGAAAACTATTTTAGTTCATCCAAGTAACTATGATAGGGTAAATAGGCGAGGTAGTTAAGCATTAATCTAAGGAGAGCAATTCATATCATATCTCTTTTCATTTTAGTATACATGGAAAAATGGCAAAGGCAGTTTTTTCTTCCAGTGATTATTTTGAAAAATCTAAATATAACAGAACTCAAAATCCAATTGCCTTTTCTCGCTCAATATACAGTATGCTTTAACGCTTCACTTTGGCAATTCAAAATCGATAAATTAGCAAAAGAAGAAATACTACAGACAAAACAAAAGGAGAAAGAGTAAATTTAAAAATATTAAATTTGCTTGAAGGAGAATGAATTAAGAGGCTTGCCACATATCCAACGTTTATCACTTGTCAGAAACGAGTCAGCTATCCCCACACATTCAGGGTGATACGCTTTCAAGCATTGCCTGCAAAATAAAAAATATATTATTTAGTAAAAGTACATGTAGAGAAAGAAATTAGTCACCAAGTCAAAGGGTAAACATCAGCAGCAAAAGTAATCAATCACGGTGCACCGTGAACTTCTTTAACTCTTTGAGTTATGAGAAAGGAAATAAACTGCAATTGCGGCGAGAGTGAATGAACCCCAAGAAACTGAATTTAATTTTGCATACGGACTGTGTAGAAAAGATTGTTTACATCTATTAAATTAGAGGACATGCTTATTATTACTAGTGTGCCACTGTTTCTCGAAGATACACGGTGTATTTCATCCATACTTCCGCTTTCTCAATTGAACATGGCCTAAGTTGAGAGAGAGAAAGACAAAAGCATTATTGTATTCAAGCAAGTGCAATAAAATGTAGAAATGATCTTACATAATCACTCAAGCGTTTATAAAAATTCCTCTATTGCCCTTACCTCATCTCCCTAATATACCCCTCATCCAATTCCATAGGCTAAATTTCTCCTCTTATTCGCTACTGCTACCATATGAAAGAATTGTGTATTTAAAAACCCCTCCTCCAACCATAAAGCCCTCGATTTTTGTCTCCTACTAGTCGCTTGAGCTATTGCCGACGTAGTTATCTCTCTCTTCGCCTCCTTCTTCCTCTCTTTTCCCGTCATCCTTTCGCCCCTCTCAACTTCCCCCCAACTCCTTCATAAGCTCTCTTCACATTTACCCTCCCAAGAACTTCCCTATTCCACACATGTATGCCCCTTTCAGCATTTTTAACTTCTTTGCAAGTTGGAATGATGGTTTGCCAGTGATTAGAAATCCATTGCACCAGCCCGCTACTCTATGTTGAAATCCTGCCTTTAGCTGCAGATTCTCAAATCTGAGATGAGCTTGCATGTTTGTACCTCTACTACCTTCTAGTCTAGCATGATGGGAGAGTAGGGCGAGATTAGCGCTGGCAAGGGAATCTGAAGCACATTTGCTACCTGTTCCTCCTAGGAGGTTGACACCAAGAATCTAACAAGTCTTGATCTTGATGTCGATTCCTCCGCCTTTGGCCAATCCCAATGAAAGAAAGATTAATAAGATAATGGTTATCAATGAGCTTCCAGAACTCCTCCATTGCCCTTAGACACTGTTCTGCATCCCATCATTTCCTCCAGAAAGCTAATAATAGTATTTTGAGGTCCCCTCCCCCCAACCCATGGAAAATCCCATTCCACCATAGAGGTGGATAACTCAGCCCAAAAAAAAATTCTTAAAGAGTAAGGTCATGAAGGACTCTTAACATTAACAGTAGATGTTTTGAAGGACACAGCAACTCCTTACAGAAGATCAAGATGAACTGCTTATTTTTGTTTCACTTTTGGTGTAAGGAAGATTTTGTACAGGATGCAGATTCAATGATAGATATCATAGGATCACTGTAGTAGGAGATAGAAACACTTCCTTTAGAAGCATGAACCTGGAAAGGAATAAAGAAATCCCCTTCTAAGACACTGTAGCACACAGACACCCCAACCCACCCCTTCACCACCACCATGAATCATGAATCCTAGGACCTCACCACCACCATCCGAGAGCCAACCCTGTCGCGACACTACCCCAAAAAGAATCGCCGGGATCTGACACCCCACGCGCCGTCACGTGCGGCAGATCTCCAACCACCCCTAGCCCACGCGCCGGCGCGTGGCACCTTTCCAGGCCAGATCCCAACTTTTTTCCTTCAGACAGCCTCTTCGCGAGACTGTTCCGACCTCACCCATCCATCAACCTCCAATTTCCGACCACTTTTGCTATTTTCCGGCGACTGGGGTGTCTTTTTCCGGCCAGATTTCACTCCCTCTCACTTTCTCTTCTTCAGTCAGTCTCCTCGCGAGGCTCTTGGTTTAGCTATGATGGACTCTACAGAGAGAAGCTCCTACTTCTCCCTAGAATCTAGAAAATTGGAAAGCATGTCTTTTAGCAAAGCTGCATCTTGGCCAGCCCTCGAACTTGGGGAAAGATGCCAGCGAAAGCTTGACGTAGGGCAGGAGCCACACTTCTCGCTGTCTGAGGAGCACACTCTCAGGCATAAAGGTTTCTTGGACTCTTGTTTGATTGGGTCTTTCTCCAAATGGGTTGTTTCTCTAGAAGCTGTTAGGAACTGGGCAGCAGAGGCATGGAACGTCAAGGACGGGCTGAAAATATCGCAACTGGGGGACACGCAATATCTTTTTCGATTCGTCGACGAGTCTCAAGCTTCAGAAATTCTTGTCAGAGGAAACAGGTGGCTCGACGGGGATTTCTTAAAGTTAGACAGATGGGTGGAGCACGATGGGTGTCTCGACCCTCGTTTCGCTGGCGAAACATTGGTGGTCAACATGGTGGGTCTCCCGGTGCATCTCTGGTGTCTTGACCTATTCAAGAAGGTTGGGGAAATCTGTGGGGGTTTCATTGATGTCACTTGCAGCTTGCACGATCTCTCGCGCGTAAGGCATGTGGTGAGGAAAGGGGGCATAATCTCTGTCTCCACTGTGGTGGAAGATGGCTATTTGAGCTACAGGGTTTGGTTGAGCCCTGAATTTCGCCCTATCTTTATGCCTGTGATTTTGGCGGAAGAAAAGGAAAGGTCAAATAGAAGGGAGGGAAGGGGAAATCAGTTTCCGAGGGGAGGGGAGGGCTCACCGGATCAGTGGATTAAGCTGGAAACAGACGGTAGATCGAGAAGTGACGGGAGGTTTGATTTTGGGAACAGAAGACAAAATTTTAACAGGAGAAAAAGACGTGAATGGGTTAGTGATGCGGGCTGGAAAGGTAGAATGGGTCGGTACTCTTTTAACAATTATAGGGTCGGGAAAGATTTCAGCAAGCATAGTCCTGGGCCTCCACACATGGGCCCAGCAACTTTTCCCAATTCTATTAGAATCGATCCAAAGGGCCCCAAGTTTATATCAAGCTGCGTCCGTTAAGGCTCCTAAACATATGGGAGCAGTCACTCCTCCTTCTTCTGCCAATGATGCCTCACACAGTGTTATTTCTTCACCAAGCACTAGGGACTTGTGCCCCTCTTCGGCCATTGTTCCAGGGGCAGCACCGGCTAAAGCTAGCGGTGTTATTCCACGGCCCCCCGCCTCTGATGGACCCAGCTCCATCGCCCCCTCATCTCTCATTGTGCTTAGATATGCTGAGGTTACAATACAATCTCCTCCAAGAGAGGCATTAATTCCTGAGGTTGGTGCCTCTCAAAGAAACGACGTGATCCACCCAGCACCCAGAGTTCCTATTACTAGCAATGCTATGGTCTTGCATTCCTCCGATAGGGGCAAGGAAAAGGTAATTACAGAAGACGCATGTCCAATTTCGTCACGAATTGGAGAAGGGGATATGTCCTTATGGATGGAGGATAAACTATTAAACTTTGGGAAGTTCTTAGGTGTTTCTTTTGAAGGGAAGGAAGATAGGGTGCTAGAACTGTTGAGGGAGATTGAGAAACAGCCTTGTTACGAAGGCGAGGGGAGGGAGTTGGGTAAAGGTGTTAATCAAAATAAAATAGGGGATGTAGTGGTGTATCAGAGAAGGGGTCGAGTGCGTGACATGGAGAAAGGGACCTCGGCTAGGGGGGTGGGAAAATTGGGGCTATTGTTGCTTATGGAAGTTAAGATCCTTTCATGGAATGTCAAGGGGATGAATGACCCAAACAAAAGGGCCATCATCAAAGTGGGAGTTAGGGAGTGGGGTGCCAACCTAGTTTGTTTTCAGGAGACCAAAATGGAAGTTTTGTCGGATGCGATCATGAAAAGTGTCTGGGGAGGTAGTTGGGTGAAATATGATTGGGTCCCAGCAGCGGAAGTGCCGGGGGCATTCTACTTATGTGGGATGATAGAAGCTTGGAGGTAAAGGAGATTAGGAAGGGAGTTTTCTCTTTGGCAGCTCTCGTCAAAGATAGAGTGAGTGGGGATTTGGGGGAGTGTATGGGCCGGTAGGGAAAGGGTCCAAGGTGTCTTTCTGGGAGGAACTGGCCAATATTATGGGGGAATGGGACATTCCATGGGTTCTAGGGGGAG